AACAATCATGACACATGTCAGTAATGCAACTGGTTTATCACACACCAACACTGTTATTTAGTGGTCCATTTACATCAATACGGTTGCAAGTTGTCGTTATATCACGTATTCTGAGCATGGTTTTGATATTACGCATCCAGTTCCATCACATTGTTGCTGACCCATCATTGTAACACTGTATGTCCCCATAATCATAATCATGAACATGGACATGTGGCTTCACGTATAATATTACAACCATGCATGTCGTTGGTTGCATCATCACTACTAGTGTATACTACACTACACTACATGTATGTTGGCATGTGTTGTACCAATTTGATTGCATTGCTACAATATGGCATGCTCCAACCTGTTTGGATTACAGTTGTGCAACATATTGATATTGTACACATGACTATTGTTGGTATTGAATGTCATGTGTCAATACGACATGTCAAGCAATATCATATCAACACAATACACACATGCATGTCAGCATCATCAATGTGTACAACTATGCAATATACAATCAACTGTATTGTATTGGAAATACAAGTGTCAATGTACACTATGATATCGTGTCAACCAAGACTGTGTACAATAATCAGATATAATGCATGAAAATCCAATTTTATTGCAAATTAAACCAGAATGACAATTGAATCAATTGGAACCAACAGGTTGACATTCAAATTAATTGGATGGATTGTCATCTTTGGGTTGATGAAAGCATGATCCTAATCCATCCACAAGCTTGGAAACCCTTTTCCGTTTATTGGAGGGAACTTTCTGTCCAGAGGATCCAGATCCAGATGGTGTATCCGGTGATGGTTGCGACTCTTGACATTGTTGATCACTAGGGCTTTGACCAAGAATCTTACTGTATTCTAATGATAATTCGTCAAGGTAACCTTTAACGGAAGAGTGCTTCTTGATAAGATCAAATTGCTGATAAAGTGATTCACAATTCCAATTTCTTCCGAAAATGAGATTCACGAGGCTCAGTTTGGTGAAATATATTGTATTTTCAAAACAACTTTTCTTGAGCTGGCACTCCTTGTAGCGGCTTCTAATATCCTTAAGTTTGGATTCTTGGGCTTCGAGATCAACCTTAGTCTTCTGAATTTTACCATCATATTTTGGACTGCCGCCGCTTCTTTGAGATTTTTCTTTCAAAACTTGAATCTTCGTTTCCAAGCCCGCTACCAGCATAATCTGGCTGTCATGCTCAGATTTTAACGGGTCGCATACTTTTTTTTGTTCATCACGACCATAACCTAGCCTTACGTATTTTTCGAGCAATTCCTTGATGCTATCTGGAAGTGCATCAAGACCACCTAAACCTATACCGTTTGGGTTAGGAGTTGGCGAGGTGCTAGCTTCAGTACTTGTAGTTGCACTGGGAATGACGGTTGAAGTGCTAGTTTCAACATCTGTACTTTCACTGGGTTTAATTGGATTGGCCATAGTAACTGAGCATGCAAGCCGGATCGATGACAATACAGCAACTGCGAGTTTCATTCTACTGTTTTGGTTGAGCAAGTTGTAATGTCATTCAACAGGTCAAGTTTTGAAACATTTATATACATTATTGAATAAATGATATTAAAAGCATATCCCTTGAATGACCGTTTTAAGGGTTAGTGTTGTTATCAGGGTTGTAGATTTGTTATCAATGCCAAACTTTGAAGAGTCTCCCTTTATATGGTGATCCAAAATTTTGGTTGAGCCGCTATTTGTCCATACGCTTGAATATCATATGGTTGATTACACAGCTTCGCCCTAAAAAGGGTTATGATCAAGGGTTAGGGTTAAGAAATGAGCATAAACCAAAACTGCAATAAGTTGACATTCGGCTATTAGTTGGTCATCAATATGTGTTGTGATATTCCATGCTTGTTAAAATAGCAAGTGATTGGCATGATTCAACGTACAAGTAGTGTATAATGAATATCGGATGATACCGTTTTACTTGAACAAGAGTGCTAAATCCATTGGAATAAATATAATTTAGTCATCTGTTTCTGTACTACATTTTACATCCTCATTGTTACACAACATCAAATGTCTACAAAGGAAACAGCTGGAAATGGAATGCGTTTGTAGGAATACAAAACACCATACACAAAATGACAGCAGTATTGCGTACATACAAATCAAAGTATGATATCATGATTGTCAACGGATTGATTGAAAACAACTTTATATCCAACTTGCACATCAACAACCAACAACTCTGCAAGATCCTTCTTGCCAATATCACAGTATCTGGATGGAAATACGGAACCGATTCAAACTGCTGTCAATCAATACTGTCATTCAACACTACAAGGCTGACATTGGCCAGTTGTTTGACATCTCATTATCTCCAAAGAAAAACGGAATTCAGACCAGATTTGCTTGGAATGTTGGCAACAACTGACTGTTTGTTGCTACATCAAGACTCGTCAGTACAGACCCACACAATACAATGTAAAAGGTATCAGACAACCAGATACAAATGAACTGCTTGTCTGCAATATGCTGCATCATATTGGAATGGGTCCTGAAACTCGTTGTATCATTGCATCTCACAGCACCAAAACAGTCTACATTGCTATCAAGTATTGCCATGTGGTGCTATTGTCCGAGTTGACAAGGATACAGCAAACAATACCCAACTTTGATTGGATTTGATATTTCGTATCCTGTGTATATGCGATTGTGCTGTCAACTCATCAAACTGCGGTCAAGTCGATGATAAAGCAATGATTGTCGACTTTTGTATTGAAAAACAGTCAAAAGATTACATTAAAACAGACATTATGGACAGATTCTACAAAGGAAATGGTAAATTCCATTATTCTGGGTTGATGCAAATCGCAGTCAAAACAACAAACGCTGTAAACATGGATACGATGAACAAGTCGTTGTAGGAATGGAATGCAAGCTGCTGGAGAGTATTGAGCGAGCCGAATCAGAGATTGATGGATTGGTTTAAAATGGGGTAACAGACTGATATTTGAAACGATTTACAACGATATGTCCATGACCTTGAAGCAACAGTTGCAGTTCTAATGGAATATTTTGTTGGTAGCATTCATTTTTAAATGTAGGCATATTGGTATCCAGCAACAATGGAAAATGTGTAATATTACAACTGTAAGGTCTGGACAAGTGACTGTCTGAATAACAGTAACTATTTCCAGTGACACTGCTCTGGAAGAACTCGAATTATTCAACAACACTCTATCAATGCATTTGCAAGAGTCATTGGAGGTATTTGTTGTTTGAATGTTGGTTCTCATACATTCAGAAGTGTGAGTTATGAAGCTTATTTCCACGCAGACACGATCAATGTATTACTTTCTGTTGGATAGGCTGTATCATCTGTCATCAATTCAGACACACTTGTCAGTCCTGTTCCGTATACAATGAGTCACATATGGACACATATGGACACCAATGCAACAATCAAGAATCAATTGTCATTTACAAGTCTGAATTGCCAACCAACAATCGTACTAATGGACCAACGGACCAATGCCAAAACACCTGCACATCAGACAGTTTATTGGACATGACTTGATTGTTCTTGAAAACTGATTGAAAACTGTTTGATGACTCGAGTAATCTAATCACACATTGCTGGCAATTAAATGGAACTATGCAATGTGTCATGTATACATTGGATACTATCAGTTTATCAGTGACTATCTGGTGTTTATTTATTCAGAATTACCTTGGACTGTCAGAATTTTCGGAGCTTCGTGATTTGTATAAATGTAGTAAAGTATAAAGTAGATAAATATAATCTGTAACTGTTAGTAGTTATCAGAAGAGAACAAATCAAAAGTGTAATGGAAGTTTCACTTTAATCCAAGATCAGCAGACTTGGTCTTTTCAAGTATAGTAAAAAGGTGTGATAAAGTAATTAGAAAGTTGAAATAGTTTGAATAGTTGTTTATTGATAAGATTAAGCATTCTAGCTTTTATAGTAGTTGATTGTTTGTCTTGTGATACGAACAAGTAACACATTTGATAATGAGTGGTTGTAAACGAAAAGTAGTTGAGCCAATGGGATTGATTCCTGTAATTAGCCAATTTAATAATAATACTATTTACCCGTTATTTGTGACTCGAATCTCCAAAAAATGAGGATAATGGAGTTTGGAGCATATGGATTGGTGGTGATGAAGGGTTTAATTTGGAGATTCAAAGTGTGCGTTATTAGAATTAGCTTTGTCACAGATTACCACTTAAGAGTATTCGTCTGGATATTCTAATAATGATGCCTCACTCTTCTCATTGAAAGAAAGTTTTGAAAGCATCACTTCAAAATGGGAAAAGCCGAATCAAAGCCTGCCACAACTCTATGATATTACCTATGCCTTTCTACTGTCTCGTGTTCTGTTTCTCAAATATCTCAAGGAAAAATATCCTAACATAACTCCAGCACAGTTTCTCATTCACCAATTGTTCAACTCAAGAGCCATCAGACTATGCTTTCTGAAACTGAAGCTATTGTCTTTGGACAAGTTGAACGACATACATTGCAGCTATATTGACGATGATTTGCGCTGCCTCTTTTGTTTTGATCTTTTTCTTGTGTTGGCCGAACATCTTGGAAGCACGATTATCGCGTCAATGGAGGGAAATCACATCCAACAAAACGGAGATGTGAATGAAGATTCAAAAAGAGGAACACTCTCAGTCTTGCTGTATGTTATCAAAAATAAGGAGTTTGCCAAAAAGGTTATTTTTGCTGGAACATCATCAAAACTACGCAACATTGACAACTTTAAATCATTTGGAACGAAACCTGTTGGTCCTCTTATTCTCAATGAATTCATAACTTGGGACTGTGAAATGGTGTTGGACTATGTGACTGCTTTTGTCGATATTCATCCGGATATTCTCAAGACTGTTCTTACCGACAACTATCGACCAAGAATTTTGGAAAACTTTGTATATGACTTGTTCAGTGCTGGAATCAATGACAATGACTCGGCAACGGCACAACGCATACGACTGAAAAAACAGCATGCCTTTTCGAATATCAATGATATAGTAGAGGAATCTTACAATGCGGTAATTGGTCGATTCGCTCGTATGTCAATCGAACCTATTGCCAGGACCATCAGGGCTCATTCACACACAGATTATGTTAAAGCTTATTTTATCATCAATGATGACGACCAATCATGGACCAATATACTGCCAACTGGACAAGAATCAAGAATACTTTTTCATGAATACTGTTGGATCTATACATCTCATTCGTGAAACTGGCGGATACTTTTTGTCTGAAGGATATGTGATAGACTTGCTTCTCAATTTATTCCGAACAGAGTTTCAACAGTTCAATCTGTTGTCATCGTTGGATCTTTTGAGCAGCATTGCTGGCACAAAAGGTAAAAAAACTACAGCCAAAGGAACACCGTTCGAAGCCGTCATTTTGGCTGGTATGATCCAAAAAAATGGACCGCATCTTTCAAACGTCCTATCTAGTTTTGGTGTTTCGATTGCTGGTCTTGATGGTTTACAGTTGCCAACAATAGAGCGTAAGGCTGGAGATGGCACAATCATATCCGATAGACCAACAGGAGTCTTTTTTCGTCCTTCAAACCAGTTTCGACCAGACATCCTTGCGTTTTTATCCAAACAAGTCTGCGTGTCATTTGGAATCAAGCTATATACATCAAAAATTCCTTCAGCAGTGTCTGCCGATAATCTTGAATCTACAAATCCAGATTTTTCTTTATTAAAGCAGATCGGCCAACGAATAACGAAACGTATTTGAAATGGCAGCAGAGTATATCTGATACCCCGTTAAAGTTTTCAATAAGGTTCTTGATTGAGCTGCCTGAACCACTCAGTGCTGTTTCAACTGAAAATACTTATAACAGCGTCGAGGGAAACCAAAATGTCGTTGTTGTCGTTTCAAAGAGCAATATGCGCAATATTTTAAGCGAGCAGGTTGCGTCGTTTGTTGAATTCATTACCAGTTCCTGATAATAAATATTGAGCTAATTTGAATATTGGATTGTGTTTTGTTTGATTTATTGTATTCAACAAAAGATGCCACAAATCACTTGTCAACTTGATACTATGCAACAGTCGGTTGTTCTTGGTGTAGATACAGGTTGAACTACCAATAATGGTTACTGCACACAAAGTCACCCAATATCCTGCCGATTCTGGTTGTGATTGTATTCCACATCCAATTCTAGATTGTAATCACAATCACAATTACCGTGTTTGATCAAATGGTGTTTTACATTGATCATGGTATCATACATTACGATACTGCCAGATCACTGCACACAAGTCATGACCAATACAAATGCATTACTGATTGACACTGATCGACACCATATATACAGCCAGACAGCACAACAAACCACCAGCATGCCATTGACCGTGTTGCAATACAATTGTCCAACATATCATGATGTGCTGTATCGAGTCACGACATACAACAATATTACTGACTGAACACAAGTCACAACTGCAAGTATTCATATGTTAATCGACTGACATTGGTGTTGATATCCAATTGATTGACTAATCGATCATCATCAATTGCATCAGTGATTGGTATATGCAACTGATATACACCATGTCCGAGTCTGATACATGTTGATATATGCGTGTCAATCAGCAATGCAGATTTGTGGTCATTACAGTCGAATGTGAGTCGAGTCGATCACTAAACCAACGAATCAATGATTGCAGTCTAAATGTGGTGCAATCTGATACGACATGACAATATATTGTCCAACAGGTTCAACAACATACACAGCACCGATATCCAATACATCACACATGTATACACTGCATATACAAACGGTAGCAATGACCAATCAAAACAACCAGTGACAGAGTTACTCATCAACATATACTCGATCATCAGTCGAGTCTGCATATATCAACTAGTTGCAACATGTCATAATCAATGTGGATTGTATTGTCCACCAATCGATCATGACAGCTAATCGATACCAATCATGTAGTCAATACAATCACCAACATATCGATGATTGTTGACTGGCAATTACAACTCGTCAATTGTATCCAATGTTACAGGTGATGCACATCTGATTACTGCAAATCAACAACTTGTCAATCATATCATAGTGTGCATTGCCAACAGACCATGCAACTACAAATCAATGTATACGTGATCAACATTTGATATTTGATGGTGATGAACCAACCATGATTGATTGTATCATACAACTAATACAGTTGCATTGTCTGGTATTGATGATCGACCCACTCATGTCAAACAGTAACCAATGTGTGTGTATCGAGTTTGGGTTGCATGGACACATCAATATGTTTGATAACGAGTCCAACGTGATGATACAAACCCAATATTATATGAATATCCAAGTTGATGAATCAAGTCGAGGTTTGCAAAGTGTCAATGTCAGGTCAATCAAACAAGTCAGTCAACCGTTATATTGTGACTAGTGATGTCACGGTTTGAATATCAACGAGTTGGACAGTCGACAATATTGGATGATTGTGATTTGGTCAAACTGCAACACTTGCATATCACTGAGTCGGTTTGGTGTGTGTGGTGTAAACACATACTACTGGATTGGTGCAATACGATCATGTCATACTATTGTATTGGTGACAATGTGATATTGAACAGATAAGATTTCGAGCGCTTGCAATATAATTGGAGTGGATGAACAATATTGCTTGTGTACCGTCATGTGGTGATATCACCTGGAATATATTGTGTAGCGACATCATAGTGCGGCAAGTATAGTCGTTAAACTTGATATCAGGGTTTAAATCAAGCAACAAATCATAATATAAAGGGTGACCCTTTCAAAGTTACCTTGACATTGGTAGTGAATCACTATTAGCCCTGACAACACAAATCCCTTAGGATGGTCATCCAAGAAACATGCTTTTAATATTATCCGCTCAATAGTGGATATAAATACAATATAAAAATCAATGTGCTGAATGACAATCATTACAACTTGCTCGACCAAACCAATATAATGAAACTATCAATCACCATATTATCATCAATCTTGTCTGTCTGCTCAGTTACTACAGCTAGTCCAGTTTATCCCAGTTCGACCATGAGTGCTGAAGCTAGCACTTTGACAGCCTCCCCAAGCGCAAATCCAGCTGGTGGAGATGTCTATCCGGTTTTTCCTAGCGCATATAATCTTGAGAAATATTGCGATTCATTCGATACTACTGAAGCGTCGTTGATCAAAGAAATTGCAAAAGCTCATGTTGGAATTGATGTGATGTCTACACAACTTGAAGGCCTACATTATCAGTATGACTTTCAAAAAGGAGTGATTATTAAAGTGGAGCAACAACTCGAAACTCTGCGTCAAACTCCGGGTCAGGAGTTGGGTGCTGCTGAAGCCAGGCTTAAGATGCAGCATGAGGTTCTTGATGGACTCAAAAATGAGCTGAAAGAACTCGTTAAGAAAGCTTCGGATATAATTAAGAAAGAAGAGAGTTTGGAGAAAAAGCTTACAGAGCACTTGTCGCCTGGATCATCAGCGAATGGCGGTATCCTAAAATTAAAAACAGTTTCCGGATATAAGAAATGCTACGAGTTCTTCTTTGATCATTTTTCGCAGTGATTGTTACAATCCGAGCATAGTGAAACTCTCCAAGATTCTGGTATTCAGCAACAAACTCCTCAACCAAACTCATCACATTGTTGGAGTTGAGTAAACTATCAACAATCTCATCTAGAATATACTACAATACAGCGTGTATTGCATGCTGGTTTAATTGTTATTTGCCATGCATTCAATGTCATCCATTAATAAACATCCTGTATTGTTAAACCATAGTGTATTATATTAATGGTTTGATCATATTGCACCAATCAACCACTATGCATTGTATTGATCACTGCAGTGTCATTGCTGGATTCATGCAATTGTGTATATCGTCATTTTGGGTTACCAATCAACCCATCCCATTTGACACCAACCCATTGGTACCACTATACTATTTGATCCAGATGATTCGGCTGGTTCTGACAATTTGACAGTATCCACAAACACATGTTTAATATTTGCACATATTCCATTGACATGCTACAAACTGACATTGAACGTCACATCACATTATTTTGGTCTTGAATGGTACAATATGTATCAGCCGATGTTTCGTATTCACATCAACATCCACATCCAGTATATACAACAAATATGTCCATAATTCAACATATCAGCCATATTTGATTTGACAGTCATTTGTCACATTGTTGTGTACTTGCAATGATCAGTATCAATCATTTGCATGTAGTCCACTGTCTAGTGTAATGTATGCAGTATGATCACATAACATGATATCTGGTGATATAGCATACACCACAACCACAACCGGAAACGTTGATCGTCGATTGTCGTCCCAATCAATATCAACAGTTGCATCAAACAAACCCACAAATGCACAACTCGGCAAGTGTAATGCATACAACTACAACATGTGTATACGAATACCGATCGTGTCCAACTACAAGCTATGTATATTGAAACCATTGGATAGTATGTCCGACACGTCATTGACATTGATAGTCAAATAATCTTGCGAGTGATCATGTATGCAACATGGTTGATATGGTTGACATGTTGGTGTTGGTTGTATCAATGTGACTATATCCCAAGAACTGATCGGACACGGCTCAACATCAAGTTTGTTTCTAGCAATGGGTTTATTGTGGTACCAAACATCAATCACAGTTGTTGATTGTTCAAAAACTTGCTGTTGGAGTATTACTGGCAGCTATTTCAGTATCTGGAAATACTCGGAGTATCTGGAAATTCGTATTGTTTGCAATTGAGTTCATATTACTTGTGAGGATCGTGAACATATGACGGCATATTGATGGTTGTCATTGTTGTCAAGTGTGTTGCAGTTGATTGAAGATGTGAATGAATGAATCAATATTCGATTGTGTTGTTTATTAACAAGGAAGTAAGTGTGTTTATAAAATGGAAGAAACCAAGAAAGTCATGTGAACTCCAGTTCAAACGTCATTGTTGATGGTTTTTGATTGTTAAACTATTCAGAAATGTCTCACATTCACACACTACTAATGTCTCACACAATGCAAGTCAACACTCTCACACTAGTAATGTCTCACATTAATGAAACATTAATTCTGGTGTAAATTTGACTAATTTCCAAATATTTAAATCGTGTGAATTGTCTTGAAATATCCCAAAATTTTGTTATTTTGACTCGATTAAAAAGTCGATTTTTGTTTTACAATTTGACAAATAAATTGCTTTTTTACTCTTTTTCTTTTCATAAAATGCCAAAACGATTCCTCAATGTTGAATACGCTGGAACCAGAACCAGAATCAACATTACTGGAATCAGTAGACTTGGTGGAGTTCAGGATGTTATCAAGGCAAAGTATGGAGAAATTATTCCTACTCCAGCTGTTCTTATTCAGCTATACGACCAGCAAGGCCAGCAAATCACAGACTTAGATGATATACCACCTGAAAAGACTCCGCAATACTACAATAAACTGGCTAAAGGTGGCTCTTGTGTTGTTATTGGTTGTTTACCACTACCTCCAAGACAACCTACCCGAACTGACCTAGTTCCAACATCTGCAGCAGCCTCATCCGCACTACTGGATTTTTGGACTGCTTTCACAAACTACCCTAACCCTCTTAAAGGAAACACTGTTGTCCAACTTCCAGCAAACATATTCATCCTTGGAAACCATTCAATTGGATCATCCATTTACATCCGTCCTTGTTATCCTAAACTTCTTGAAAAATCACTATCTATTGTGCAATCTGCTGATATACGTCATTTGATCATCCTTGGAAATCCTGGAATTGGCAAGACATATTTTGGTTACTTTTTGCTGTTGCATCTTGCTCGCTCTGGTGCTACAGTCGTGTATGAGAGTGGAGCTGATCAAAAAAGATATCTGCTTACTCCCAATGGTGTAATCGAAGGAGGAAAGCATGCTTTTTGGAAAATCTTGGATTCCTCGTCAACATTCTACATTGTTGATGGCTCGGCACCTGTTGATGTTGATGCCAAGACCATTCTTGTTACTTCACCTTGTTGGGAAATTTGGCATCGGTTTTGCAAGGGGTCCTGTGACATTCGGTATATGCCAGTGTGGTCAAAAGAAGAATTGCATTCCTGTCGCTCAATGCTTTTTCCTACAGTTCCACAAGAATTGGTTGAAAGTCTGTATTTGAAGTGGGGAGGAATTGCTCGTTATGTTCTTAAATATTCATTGGTAAAAGAACAACAGGATTTTCTCGACAAAGCTTTAAACATTTCCAATATCGATTCAGTTGTCAAGTCTTTTGGTAAATATGGTGAAAACCTAGATGCTTCAAGTTGTTTGATTCATATATCAGTCAAGGATGGCTTCCACAGTGGTCCTTATCAGTTTGCTTCTGACTATGTGGTTGATGAAATTTACAACCGTGTCTATGCCAGAGACCGAGATCATCTTATCAGATTCGTTTCTGTTACTCGAGAAATTGGTGGAACTGGTCAACTTAATAGGGCATTATTTGAAAAGCACGCTCATACAGTTATTGTTAAAGGTGGTTCATTCAAGATTCGTGATTTACGTACCAAGCTGGAGTCTACACTTCAACTGCCGATGGATCTTAGTACTTTGTTATTCTCCAACAATTCTCAAGTTCAAGACGCAACGAATTGCTATTTCCGTCCCATTAACAATACTTTTGAATCTGTTGATTCGTTCATCAAGCCAAATCTACTTTTCCAAATGACATGTGCCAAAGATCATCCTTGCAGACAGGCTGGGCTTCGTAATGTTTTGGAAATACTTGGTAATCCGCCAAAACCAGAACTGTATTGTGTTGTACCTCCTGATCGTTTTGCCTGTTTTACACACCAAAGCTACCACGGAACAGATGGTCAAGTGTTGTCACAAAACGATACTATTGCGAGTGTCAAGAAGTTGAATCGATTTGTTTTGACGTTTGAACCATCTCATTAATAAGGTATGTAGACTATAATTAATGATTTTTATTGACTGCATAACGCTAATCCTAACTCTGTTTCTCGATCTCGTTCTACACAATACACGGCGTTTGATTTCTTAAAGGTGAATAATATCGTATGGGTTCCATCGGACAACAAACCTCGCTTTGTGGAAATGACCACTTTCATTGTCAGGAACTTCCCAATCGTGTAATTTAATCGCTTTGGTTTTGAAACCTATAGTTTCTTGTAAATAATTGCATATCCCAAGACTGTTTTTCATCATACAGTTTTGAAACTAATATTTTGATTCAAGAACAAACTGCGTTTTCCTTTTTCTTTTGCAAATAAAAGTTGTTTTGTTGCTTACAATTATGGTCAATCAATTGACTGCCAAACTGTACAGCAGTTTTGCTGACATTGGATTTGTCCGATCGATAGTCTTGGGTTTCAAACTTGAATCAAACTCCCAGCTGACGAAACACTGCAGGGATTGTTACAAGCACAAAAGCAGCTGTTTCAAGAGATGTTGGTATGATACAAGGAGTACCAGAAAGTATACTCTTACAAAGAATTGTTTGCAACTGAATTGAATCAAATAGCCATACGTGATAAACAGCGGGTTGATTGTGGTTTTATTCCCAATCAATGGTATTGACAAAACCAACCAGGGATGAGCCAGAATCAAGAGTTGGAGGCTAGACACAATTATGAATAGAATATGCTAGAGTATCAAAAAGATGATCAAAAAAAGCGTGAAATTCAACAGATCAGCAATGATGTCCAAATGCATAGTGTAATCAAGCAGATTTGAATCCATTTTGGCATTGCAAGACACACTATCACATTTGGAAGAGTTGATTGGAAATATAAAGACTCGTACTCGATAAACACGGACTTGTCAGTGGTTTGATTTTATACTCTATCATTCTTACAACAAGATCCAGCTAAACCCAGTCTGATGTGTACATTAACGCTTAGTACTGGTTAAAAAGCTACCCATTGTATCCAATTTGAGGCATCAAGTATGAGTCTGGCACAAATAGCTCGTATTTATTATGAATTACAAGCAAAGCTATTGACTATTCTACCCTAATACTTTTGACTTGAATTCCTTTCTGCGAATAATTTATGTTTTGACAACTTTGTGTAGATCGTGAGCATATGATGGCATGTTGATGGTCATCATTATTGACGAGTAAATTACAGCAAATCAAAGATACAAAGGGATGATCCAATAAACTAATTGCGTTGTTTATTAAAGAACGGGAAAGTGTCTTTATAAAGTGGGAGAGC